GCATCAAAAATCTTTTGAAGTTTCTGACCATTTGTTTTTTCATTTTAGTTTCAATGAAACAATCCATGTACACGTGTGCCTGATGGTAACGCTACAAATGCACGTGTGAAATATATATACCATGGAACATGTTAAAAAGAAGCGGAATAAACTTCATTCAATTATAGGTTTGGCTGCACTTAACGTAGCAGCAATACGCTACGCACACGGCGTGAGACTTTGTATTATATAATCATAAAGTAAAAAATCACATTTCGTTTCGGCATCCTAGATGGGTGTGGTACGAGTAAAATGTTAATCATTTCTAAGGTTGTCACAWTTATTACGAGTTTACTAACAAGTGCTTATAGTCTTCATGTCAAAAACTAGGAACGCTCTCACTTYGCACGTTGGAATGTTATTAAACAACAAAACTTACATAAGAGTCAGGGAACAGATGCATCTATGACGCATGGTGGCTTGTTTTGATTATAAAATGCTGTTTCGTTTGCAACTGCGYTTCACCATGACATATATCACATGAGAAAGGCGGCCTGTGGTTGTCTTTAAAGTATGTATGTTCAAAATGATAGATTCCTAGTTATAAGCCTTGAAACGTTGTTTCACATTTGGTTTATTTAGCTTAATTCCGTAATAATTAGAATTGTATGTTAGCAACTTCAGATAATGTTTTTGTTACTTCTATACATTCTGCGATAAACCGTATAGAGAATTGTCTCGTTTAAAAACGGAGTATACTTATATGCGCAAAGTTAGCAGAGAATGTTTACGTTTGGTATAATGCTCCGCGATAAACCAAACGTTCTAAAACTTAATTTGGGAAGCACTGTTGTTGCGCGCTGCTAAATGCGTCGTCTCTAACCAAAGAGGCACAGGTTCTGGTCCTGCCGGTCTCGGTGTCGTATGTGAGCAGAGTTGTTTGTTGGTTCTCTCCTGTGCTTCGAGGGTTTTTTCTCCGGGTTCTCTGCATTTCATCCCCCCTCAAAAATCAATTTCTAAATTCCAATTCGATCTCTAGGCTTTCACCTAGCTGGAGCCTAGCTCTGTTGTGATTGTCCCACGCTGTGATGCAACAGCAAAAGCTTAATACATTTTAGATTTTAAACTTATCACTTGCTCAGATACTAATCTCTACGCAATGCTAATCATATGATGTCGTTACTAAATAAGACGTCTTATAACATTATWAAAAGCCTGTTGCCTATTCTAAATGAAACCATATCATAACATAGATTGAGAAGAACGAGAATATGCCAAAATATGAGTATATATTTCATATATTTCTTAGTAAAGAAGTTGTTTATWAAAAAAGGTACTAAATATAAGGAATCATGAAAAACGATTTTTGTAACTTTTTGACGTACCTTTTKGCAAWCTGCTATGTGCGCTTTTGAACCCAGAAAAACTATGTGGTCTGATGTCCAATGTTTTGACCGATCTGTTGCTTTTTYTGATATTTAGACCATATTATAAACCATTGACAACCTTTTGTTCAAAGCTACCRATCATRGCTTTGATCGTATCCAGAAATAGTTTTCGCATCTCCTTGTGAGAACGTTTGATAAACCAACATGGCTTGGAGAAGGAATCACAGGTTAGATCATCTGATGTGAATGGAGTCGCRCGATATGTCAGTTTGCAGTTGAAGTAACCTWRYTTCCTCRTCCTTAACTATGCGCATTGTGATTGGATGAATCCCATGAAACATTRGGAAGAAACAATTGTACGAAAMGCTGTCACATATGCGCATCATAAGGAGCATAAGACAGACAATATCCATTTGGCTCAGTAAACGAAACATTCGTTACACCAGTTTGCCAGTTTTCAATCCTTTGTTAATACATGATTTTGATTTTATAATGTCTTTTGTTTGTTTGTTGATATCAAGTGTCTGCTTTTAGTTTGTTTGTATTTTTGTCCATCTTTATAAAATTTGAGCAATGCTTCATTTACATGACGTCATAGGCGCCATCTTGGATGAATTTAATGTTATACTTCTTGGCAATGTAGTTCTACTAGTAAAAATGGAGAAAATAAGAAATGAAATTTWGATTAAATAAAGCCTCCTTGGTTGTAAATTGCCAAAAACAAAACTAGCTGGTTTTAAAAGCRCACGAACATTTWACACCAAGAACGAAAGAATGCGAACCGTTTGGTTACTGTAAGCCATGGTCCACTAACATAAAATAATATCAAATTATGATTACAGTCTTAACACCATGCAGCATTTAACTACCATATACTATCTTATATTGGCCTATCCTTTCATATTTAAAAATCAAAAAAGTAAATTACCAATATATTTTATCTACATTTGATCTAACCCTGAATCGTTACCAGCCAAGAGCTAATTTAGTCAAGACTAGTCAAGACTATACAATTGGAATCATGAAAAATATGAGACAATGATGCATAAAGGAACGTTGAAGAGCGGTGAAAAGAGTTGAGAAGCCTATTGTATTAAGTCATATTGATCAATAGTTTGGGTAATTGTCACAATCGTAATGATCATTATGTAAGAATAAATTTCCAAGTGGATTCCATATGAAGCCAAGGAAGTGCATTTATCTTCCTCTTACCAAAATGCTCATATTTTTAACTTTACTTTGTAATGTATACAACTGGAGTTTAGTCTTTTGCGCGCGAGATTGTTGGTAGCCTATAGTATATTATATTACGATATTTATGAACACTAGTTTCGACAAGTACTATTGCTTCCATTTGTTGTTATTCGACTGTTGGACTACATATTGTMTTTCGAATTCGGTTCAAATGTAATCATCCTTTTAGCTATTCTCGCCCACCRGATATATATTTTGATTTGAGATGCTATATTAATGCTACTTATTATACTTTTAGGGAAAAATAATACATAAGAAGCTAACTTACCTGAGGTCTGAAACATCTCCGTTGATCCAACACTATGAACTGTATTACAAAGAAACACAAATGCCGCTGCTACTAGAACCGTTATAACGCCCATAAATGCTGAAGGGATACATTAAAGATGGTATTCAAAACAATAGTTATTCAGTCCACAAGAATAATCTCTGAAAGGACAGCATCAAGTTAAAATCACTGTATCATATGAATTGGGAATATTTAAGTCCAATACTAACGAATAAAAACGAAATTATTGGTTTCTATTTTTTTATCTTTTAGTTTCGACCATCCGGCTAACCACATAGAATAGGGACCTCTCATTATCTATCACACGCTTAGGAGAGTAGGGAGGGGGGGGGGGGGGGGAGCCGGTGGGGGGGGGGGGGGGGGGGGGGGGGGGGGGGGTGCTGACGATTTTTGTCGCGACACCACTATAACGACAACGTATTTTATTGGCTTCGTATAAAAAACAGTTACGGCATTAGAGTTAATAACCAATTAAAAAAGAATAATATAGCAATAAATAACATATCAGAAGCACAAACCCCTGTAACAAGTATCATTTTTTTCAGCCTTCTTTTTAAAAAACTTATAAATTAATTTTCCATAATGAATTTTTCAACAATTGTTTTACTCGAAGGTCCAAAGACCCGTTTATTTTAACTAACAATTTGTTGCGCRAATTCAATGGCGCTTAAATGTGAAAATACCCTGCGATTTTATAGCAAAATATTGCATCCAAGTTGCTGCAAATTCCTACATGCAACGACGCTCTTACCAACTGAGCTAGCCGGGTGGCGGTCAAATATCGGATGGCTTTTTAATACGGCACATGTTATTCCCGGTCACAATGTTAACAGCCGTGAAACAAAGCACG